ACACACACACACACACACACACACACACACACACACAATGGATGACTTGTTGTGTGATAGCTGCTCTTTTGATTAATCCAGATTCGGTGAATGGGTATTTTGGAAGCTCTGTGGCGTTCTACTTCAGCTTCCTGGATTTCTACACCTGGTCTCTGCTCCCACCAGCGATACTGGGCCTGTCCATCACGTACTTCTCAGGTAGGTGTGTGGATTCATCGTTTCTGTTCATGTCACGGTTCCAGACGATGGTTCTGCTCAGCTGTGCTCGAGAATCCAGGCGGAATGATGACGCAAACCTGAAAAACAAACTAACTGGTCTTAAAGTTCCTCTTGCCCATCACAGGTGAGGTTCAGAAGGAGGTGGTGGAGTCGGTCTCGGGGTCACGGGTCACGGATGAAGGTGATGACTCTGGACCCGCGGTCAGCGGTCACATGATCCAGGCGGTGTTCAGCATGCTCTGGTCCACGGTTTTCATGGAGATGTGGAAACGCAGGAGCTGCTCGCTCTCCTACCGCTGGGGGACGCTGCACCTCGCCGAGCGCTTCGCGGAGCCCCGGCCTGGTTTCCACGGTGACCTTGGGGTCAACCCTGTGACAGGGCGTGTGGAGCCCCTCTTTCCTGAATGGCAGAGAGACCTGCGCATTGCACTGGTGTCACTGCCGGTGGTCGGGATGTTTCTGGGTAAGAATTTAATTGTGAATCCAGTTAATTGATTGATGCTGAGCTGATACTGATCAGCCTCAAGTAAAATAAGTTTTCTGATCTGCTAAGCAGTAAAAAAAGCCTGAAGGTGAAGGATGTGAAATATGTAAAAGCACTTTGGTGCAGAAAAGTGTTTAGTTTTTTAAAAACCTCGGCTGCTCTGTCCCGTCTCCTCCTGCAGGGCTGGTGGTTCTGGGTATGCTTTGTTTCTACTGGGCAGAGGCTCAGGTGCAGCAGCTAAACAAAGACTGGGAGTCCATGCTGTCTCAAACTTTGCTCTACGTGCCGTCGGTGCTTCACATCGTCTACACAAACATGCTGGCGACTGTTTACAAGACGGTGGCTCAGAGACTGACTGAATATGGTGAGTGAGAAGGCGGGGGGGTGGTCAGAGGGAGAGTTTGGATATCATGTATTTTAAAATGATGATTAGCGCTTCGGTAAATGTCATACGGATCATAAAATGTGTGGCATCAGACTCCCACCTTTTAGTTTGGTACATGTTCCATCTGCTAACATGGAGGAGGTGGGGTTTATGACCTGATCTGGCTTCACTACGGGAAACCTGTCATGTCGTCCATCTTTACATTCATTCAACAGCACAGATGCAGTCAGGAGGACGACACAAGAGACCAAGAAAAACATAGAGAAGAAAAAACAGTTATGAGAGAGTAGAGAGTTATTATTATTATAATTATTATAATTATACAATCCATTAAAAACAAAAGCCTGATGTGAAGTCGGTGGCGTGTTCTCGTGTCCTGTTAGAGAACCACAGAGAGGAGTCGGCCTTCGAGAAGCATCTGACGGCCAAAGTCTTGGTGGTGAGTTCCAGTTCTAATCTCCCAATCAACAGTTATCTCATGAGCACGAACCCAAACAGACTCAGTCACTTCACACTTCTCTTCTTCCCTTAGTTCACCTTCTTCAACTACTTTGCTGTGCTCTTCCACATCGCCTTCTTCAAGCAGGATGTGCCTTTGCTCCGTAAGGTAACTGCAGCTCTTAAAGGTGGTACTCCAACAATTCAATACTGCACTTTATTCAACTTTACACAACGCAGCAAAGAAATAAATAAACAAATAAATGAATCAAAGGCTGAAATATTCCCACTTGTAGTTTTTAACGTGTAGTAAAAACACTGAATCACACAACTCCTGTAAAGTTTCTCGAAAAAAAAAATGTTCTGAGCTGAAATTCAAACATTTAGTTTATACAGACTAAATCAGCATTTAGTTCCACCTCATTCATTAAACCTCATTGTGTTCAATGTTGCTAGAAGCATAGCGGTATATGCTATATTATGCTAGAAGCAGTAAAATATTTGTTGCATTGATCAAAACGTAATTTTGATCTTAATTAAGCGTATTTTGTTTCTGTAAATCGTTTGGGACGTAGCTAATTACGTAGCAGAGGTCTGACATCGAGCTAAAGCGACGCTCTTTATGAACAAGCTAACCTTCAGGTGTAAAAACAAAATGATTTAAAAATGTGATTTAAAGAAAATTTGAATTTAATGTTATAGAAACGCTTCAAATATTATTCCTCTGCTTGTCGTCAGCGTCTGGCGTCTTTGCTGATCGTGACCCAGCTGATTAACCAGGCGACCGAGGTGGCCATACCCTTCCTGGTGGACCGGTTCATCAGCGCCCCCCACAGGGCAGAAAATGAAGACGACCCACAGGAGGACAAATTTAGGAAACAAAGCACCCTTCCAGTTTTCCCTGTGTGTATTCAGCATTAAGAATTCCTTAACTCTGCCGCTCGGCACAAAGATCTTCATGACATTCAGCTTGTTGTTTCGCCGCAGGGCCTGTTCGCAGAGTACATCGAGCTCCTGGTGCAGTTTGGGTATCTGAGCCTCTTCTCCTGTGTGTACCCTCTGACCGCGGTGCTGCTGCTCATCAACAACCTGACAGAGATCCGCTCGGACGCCTATAAGATCTGCAAGCTCTTCCGCAAACCCTTCTCCCCGCCTGTGGCGAGCATGGGCGTGTGGCAGGTCAGCAGAAGCACACTCCCCCC